GTATTGAACACGTCACCATTTTTCTCAGTAAATATATTACTAGAGGTGCTAATGACATGAAATTTTCACCAGATGTTGGTAACAACCCAAGTAATCCATACATACAAATAAATCAAATCATAAATGTCTAGAAATGAAGTGATTTGTAATAATGTGGAATGGCACAGGGGAAAAGTGTTGAACACACTTACTGAAATTTATCTAATACTTTGTACAAAAGCCTTTGTTGTCAATGACAGCTTCAAGATGCATGGAGAAACTAGTGGCATGCATTGCATTGAACACATACTTTTTTTCCCCTGTGCCATTCCACATTATTACAAATAACTTCATTTCTGGACATTTATGGTTTGATTTCTTTGTATGTATGGATCACTTGGGTTGTTACCAACATCTGGTGAAAATTTCATGTCATTAACACCTCTAGTAACATATTTACTGAGAAAAATGGTGACGTGTTCAATACTTATTTTACCCGCTGTATCACCAAAAAAAGGTTCTTAAGTAAAAATCATAAAACTGCTCACATTAATCTGTGAAGTAAAAGTATTTTTACACACACTCTAAGAAATGAAGTGTTGAATTTACTTCACCAAACTGGTTCCACTCTGAGTTGAGTAAATTACTTTATATTTACTCAATTCAGTTTAGTGGAACCAGCTGACATAACTTGGTTAAACTCAACACTTCAATTTTTAGAGTGCGCGTAAGTTTATAAATTAGGTGTTGAGTTTTTAAGAAGTAAAAATATCAGTTTTAGGTTTTGAATGTAGCAAAATAAAAGTGAAAGTAAAAAAATATAGTAAAATTACCAATTCGTTGTAACTATATCAGCCGAGGGCTCCTCTCCGTGCTGATCAGAGGATGTCAGCTAAAACATGGTTGATGTATTTTTCGGTCCGTATAAAAAGCAAGAATGGTTCATGCAAACAATTAATGTGCAACACTATTATTGTGGAGTTTTTAGACCCTCAGCAGTTTAGATTTCATCCAGAAGATGGCGGTCTGAGTTTGATGTGAGCTAAAGACTAACAAATGTGTTCTGATCATGGGTTCAGATTGCAGTGCTCATTCTTCTTTTATTTGAAAAAAAAAAAAGTGCAGAAGACCATTTTTGTTGGCCAACCCGTGGCACAGCAGATGTGATGCTCAGGTTAAATAAGGGTCCATTTTAGGCTGATACATGTAAAGTTTTAAAAGGACAACAAGGTTCATCCAGATGTGAACCATGATGGGATCAGCTGGAAGAAAATGCCCCCCCTTTGTTCACATCACAGCTCGGGCAGCCGTCCAACTAAACAATTAGCCTGTATGGGAATCCCAGTCCCCCTTCCCTCCTCTATCCCCCCCTCTCTCTGCAGCTGGCCTCAGGAGAGAGGCAGCCCAGTTTATTTCCTCCACGGTGGTCCCTTTAGGGGTGGAGGCGAGGCCCCTGATGCTGCCACTGATCTATTAGGTGAGGGTCCCCAAAAGAGACGTGAGAGGGACCCTTTTTTTAATTACTGAAGCACTCCATCTTACCGTCAGAGGGCCCTCTGTGCTAGAACCAGAGAGGACTGAAGATAATTACCCCATCATTGCAGAATAGAAGAAATGCAACCTATAATACAGGTGAAAAACTGAATATGTTGATTTTAATTGAAATATAAATAAATGTTGAGATTAAAAGCTCTATTTTGCATTTTATTTCTTCAATTGGAAATAATCTATAATTTTATTTACTTTAAACATGTTATCAATTAAACATAACATTAAAACAAATTAAGTAATTATTGCATTTTAAGTGGTTTATGTTAATATATGTTTGTGACCATTATAAAAAATACATTTTCAAAAGTTAGAGCTGTGCGAGTCAATGCTATTTTGCACACATTCATGCATTTAAATTTATATTGTTCAGTTATTCGTTTAGGTTGATTTGGTTAAAGCAGTTTTTACAAAAATTACAAAATAAAAAAAAATGGTTTTGTGCAAAAATTAAGCAATAAACACTGATTGACAGCTAAACATGCCAAACTGAAACATCCCAATAAGGACAGGGTTTCACGATGGTTCCAAATCCATCAACTGACTTCGCTGCTTTTAGGGAACTCGGAGGGAACGAGCGCGCGCGCGCGACACGAAGTGAAGGGATTAGGTTTTGTTTTGTAAAGTGGGCCCTCTCAGACACTTCTCCTGCCGTGCTGCTCCTTTGAGGAGCGGCCAGAGCGAGGGCCTCGTGTCAGACTGCATAAATAACTGTCGGCACAAAGTAAACACAGCGGTCACAACCCGGGCAAATTAAAACAACTGGCCCGGGGGCCGACTTCAGCCCACTTTAAGAGCTCTAAAACATCCTCTGACGTCACATCAGGCTGCTGACCCTCATCTTATTGGCTGGAACCAGTCTGACCAATCAGCACCCAGCTTTCAACCTTAAAATTTTAATCATAAAAGCAGTAAAGGCCTGCAAACGTTTTTGTTGTTGTTCTGACAGTAAATTTGCAGTTTTTGCATGAATATTACTGGATTATTTTATTTACACTCAAAAAAACAGACATGGTGGATTTACTTAAATAAATATGCCAATTTATTCCACTCATCTTTACATTTTCCTCACATTTACTGTACCTTTATTTTTTAGTGTTTAATTGAGTGGAACCGGTTGACATTTTTAAAGTAAATTCACTTGTTTTTTTTTTTGTTTTTTTTTGAGTGCAGGTTTTTTTTAATTTCGAACAGACATTAAAACAATCAAAAAGAAAAGAAAAGAAAATAGAATGAAACAAACTTAAGAAATAAAATGTAATACAAATTTTTTTGCCCATGTGACGTAAAATTTTATATTTTCTGTTCGAAAAGGAGCAGGTAGAAGATACATCTTATAATGTCCTGCCCCTTTCCTACTTGTATCAATTAACTTTCAGAACATCAAAAAGAGACAACTTGTTTCCATTTTACATCATGTTTAACTATGTAGAATTATTTTAAGTACTATTTATATCATCACTTACATTATAGACTATTGAACATTAAACATCTTATATAGCATATTTTGAAACGAGCTCTGCTTTAATCAGTTTTTTAAATTGGTTTACATTTGTAATTTTTTTAACTCATCATTCAATCCATTCCAGACGTTTACTCCACACACTGATAAACAAAAACTCTTCCTGGTTGTTCTGATATGTTGTTTTTTTAAAATATCCTTCACCTCTTAAATTATAACCCCCCTCTCTGTCACCAAACATTTCCTGTTTATTGTGTGGAAGTTTTTGATTTCGGACCTTAAACAGTTGTGCAGGTTAATTCCACTGAGATCATAAATCTCTATTTTAAAGGAGGCCTGATGACAAAGTTCCTGGACTGTGAGAGGAAACCAGACAAAATCCATGCGGTCTTGAACCCAGAACCTTCTTGCTGTGCAGCAACCGGGTCAACCACTACTCCACAGTGCTGTTCAAGCTGTTATAATATAACAGCTCCTGGATAAATGTTGCCTTTGTGTTACAAATAAAAGCTCATTTACCTGTTAAGGAGATCCAATTCAATTAAACGACAAGAGCTCCATATTTGAGATTTTAAAATAATCCTTGGAGGCAAACTTTTGTTTGTGTTAGAGGGAAAAAAAAAAAAAGAAACGTTATCTCCCAGAAACAACACAGAGGCTTATCTGCACCAACGCTTTGTCGGTGCTCAGGTTCTGCTCTTCAGATAACACGGGTTAACGCGGGTCAACAGACAGGGGCCACACAAGAAAATAAAATAATATTAGTTTTTTTTTTAAATCAGTGCACAAGAGTTTAAAAGTGATACAAATATCTGTTTTTATATGCAAAACTGTACAGCAACGTCCACCCAAACACCTGCAGGAACAAAAAAGCAGTGGGAAAACATTTATCTTTGAACCAGCAAAGACAGCAGGTGGAAAATATGCATTTAAATAAATTTAACTCTTCTTTTTTTTTTTTTTTTTAGTAATACAGGAACATAGAGAGCATGAAGTCTCTGTTATTCCCACTCAGCCTGCAGAGATGAGCCTTCAGTCAAAAAATATCTTTTTTTTTTGTTTGGAAATCCTTAAAAAAACAGTAAAAAATAGTTTTTTTTGTTTGTTTTTTGGCATCATGACGCTGTTGTTCCGCACAGCCGTGTTGCGTTCAGCATCTCCTTCAGCTCGCCCTCTGGTTTTCCCGCCACCATGAAAGGCCACGTCTGCAGAGGAGAAACACACAAATATGTTACAAATAAATATTTAAATACAAGTTGCATATTAAAAATACTGCTTTAAAAATAATAAGAAATGTGTTTTTAGGCAAGTTTAGGAGCAAACACGTAATCAGGTGTTGCGTTCAAGTGCCTCACCAATATTCTTTTTTTAAATTTGAGTGGAAAACGCATAAATAAAGGCTGTTTCTTTTTTATTTTCATGAATAATTTCTAAATAATGGTAGTTTTTTCCTTTCTTGCACTTGAACGCATCACGCAACTTTAAACTGGAGTTTTGATAATCTTTCTGCAGCACAAACTAAATAGATTATTATTTCTGTTTTTCCTGTTTTATTTTTTTAACCATTTATCTCTTAGACGTCCAGATAAAAACATCTGCCAACATCTGGCCCGGGAGCAGCCGGTCTCACCAGGTTAACGGGGTGAATAAATCCAGTTTCGTATTTGTCGTTGGCCAGAATCTGGCGAAGATGCGCGATGTAGCTGGAGGCGAGGCGCAGCGTGTCCAGCTTGGACAGCTTGGTGTCGGCTGGTACCCAGGGCAGCGACGTCTTGAGGCGCGAGAAGGCCTTGGACAGCACGCGCATCCGTGCTCGCTCCCGCGCGTTGGCCGCGTTCCTCTGCACCTGCTTGCCCTCCTGCGGCGCCCCACCTTTGCTTGCGGCCTTCCTGGAGGCGCCGGAGGAGGCGGCGGTCCTCCGCTTCTTGGCGCCGGGCGCCGCGTCCCTTCTCCTCCTCCTCCTCCTCGTCCTCCTGCTGTCCTCGGTGGCGCACGCGCCCTCGCAGTTGGAGCTCTCCTCCTCCTCCTCTTCCTCCTCCTCGGCGCTCTCGTTGGAGTCTTTGCCGAACTTGAGGATGCCGTCCAGAAGCTCGTCGTCGACGTCGCTGAGGGAGCCGGTGGACATGGTGCTGGTGGAGACGGAGCCGGATCAGACCATTGGAGACGGGCTTGGAGCGCGCGCGCAGACACGTTCTGCGCTGTTCATAACAGTCCGCGTGGAAGGAGCCGAAAGGAGCAGGAGATTTTATCTCTACATGAGCGGGGAGGGCGGTTCCTCGCGCTGGGAGGAGACAGAGGCCCTGAAGTTTACATCAGTGCGCGTCCGATGATTATTTCCTGAAACTTTCCATCCAGTGACTCATGAGACATTTTGCTAACACACACAGAGAGTTGACTCCAGTAAGTTCTAAACAAAGCTCTATTTGTTAGGGATGATTCTCTTCTACCACACCAAAGTTTAAATCTGAATCTGTTAAATTAACCAAAATACATTTTTTTGTGTTTTCTGACCTCATTTGGCTCCAATCAACTTCAAACCATAAACAATTATAGCTGTACACTCAATCATAAGTTTCTGAAACTTTCAATGAAATTCATTTGATACTTCACAAGATATTTTGCTAACAGACAAACAGGATCGACTTCAATAGTTAATGGCAAATTTCTAAACAAAGCTCTCACACAATCAGAGTGCTTTCGGAGTATATGTTGGGGATGACTCTCAAGTAATACCTCACCAAATTTTAGCTTAGTATATATAAAATTGGCTGAGTTTAAACATTTTTTTGTTTCATCACTTTGATTAGCTGTGGAGTCCATTTTGAAACGTTTTAATTCCAAAAGCTAAACAGTTGGAGATGTGTATCCAGTGGTTATGTTTTGAAAGTTTTGTTGAAATCCATCCAATGGTTCATGAGATATTTTGCTAACAGACAATCAAAGTTGACTCGATTCGTTTTTGGCAAATTTCCAAACAAAAATCTCACGCTATCGGTTCACTTTTTTGATATGTGTTGGGGATTACTCTCAGCTACTACCACAACAAGTTTTAGCAAAATATTTGTAAAACTGGCTCAGTTAGAACAGATTTTGTCATTCGCAAATTTGATTAGCTGAGGCAACCATTTTGAAACAATTTAACTACAAAAACTAATACGTTGGAGATGTGCATCCAGAAATCACTATTTGAAGGTTTCACTGAAATCCATCCAATGGTGGGTGAGAAATTTTGCTAACAGACGGACACACAAAGCACACAGACACAGGCAAATATTTGGGGCAATGATATAGAAATAAACAAACTGAACACGAGGTCTGTTTTCGGCTAAATTTGTGGTTTCTTAAACGCTTTAAAACTGATCAGTATTTGTAAATTTTCAGATGATGCGTGTCGTTAACTTCAGATTAACCTGTTCAGTTTTGCATCCACAACGTTCAGCACATCCTGCCAGTTTAGCAGGACAAAGTGCGAGGACAGAGGGGGGTGTCACATCTCAGATGGCAAACTGGCGCCTCGGTCCCCTCTGATGTAATGGATACCCTGCAGCCAAAATCCCCCCGTTTGGCCTTCCACATCATTCCACACCGATGCTCTGAGCACCGGACCACTCAGGGCCAAGTCCAAACAACTGGAGCTGCTTTAAGAGGAAATCCTCACTTATGTTTCGCTCTTGTTCACTTCCTTTTTTTGTGTTTTAACTGTATAGTTTTTTTTAAGATGCAGATTTGTGGGATACATAAGTGTGTGTGAGAGAGAGAGAGCGTCCTCTTCTGCGCGGCTGAAGCGTGCGAGGATAAGAAGTGTGTCTCCAGAGAGCTGACCTTTACCTCCTTCGTTTTCGGTATCACGGTCCATCCAAACAGACGTTATCTGCCTTATCAGTCAGACACACACAATTAGCTTCATAAAACCATTTTTGTCCATTTCTACAAAAGCAAAACTAAAAAAAAAACCCACATAAATGCAACAAGAGAAATTGTATTTCCTGTGAAAATGCAGCGTGAACGTTTTTCTCTGAACAACTAAAAAAGCTGAAACTAGCCTAAATTGTTTTTTTAAGTAGCTGAAATTAGCATTACTAAAAAAAAGTAGTAAAATAATGAAATTATCACAATTAGCATTAAATAGCTCAAACAGGCTAAAAAGTAGCGAAAACACAAAAAAACAGCTGAAATTAGCAAAAAGCAGCTGAAAGTCGCAGAAAAAGCTCAAATCAGCAACAAAGAAGTTGAAGGAAGCTGATGTTACTACAAATAAATTAAAAAAGCAGAAACAGAACAAAAGGTTAAAAGTGCATTAAAGGGTTTTAAGGATGTTGAAGACAGCTCCACTTATTTTCAATTAGAAACAAAGGCAGGTGAAGCTAAATATCTCAAAAAGTACAAGTTGTTGAAATGCCAAAAGTAATAGCTGAACTGTCCTGAAGGAGCTGAATGTTTTGATATAAAAATTGTTGAAATAGTACAAAAATTGCAGAACGAGAAATGATGGAAAAACATACGAAAGAATGCCTTATAAGCATTCACACAATGATTTGTGAATCTCATGAACCTAAATGTTCTGAAAGAAACAGGAATACCAAAAGTATTTTTAGATTTTGTGACATTTTCAGGAAAAAATAAGCTCTTTTTGAATTTAGTTGCAGCAAAACACCTCCAAAAAGGCAAAACCGGTTAAGGGAAACCGTGGTTCCATGTAGTAAAACTCGCAGGATGAGTAAGCCAGAGGACAGATAGGTGAGGCAACAGAAGAAGAAAAATAGACATGGATGGTGGAGGGATTAATCTTCTGGGTGGGCTGGAAATCAAAGCACTTAGTGGAAAAGTAATAATAGAGTCTGTTAGATTGATGATCACCTCCGAGATACAAGAGAGAAAGAAGGAGACCGAGGGAGAGGGAGCCAAACTTAAATAGCTCATGAAAAAAAAAATGGAGGGAAGCAACTTGTTTCCTCCTCTCCATGGTGATAAAACATGATGTAAGGCAATAATATCGTTCTTAATGCTTGGAGAACTTGATTTTGTAGTTTTTATAGTAAATTAAATACAGAGAGTTCTGCATGTTTGGGTTATTTAATGAGGAGGGTTTTTTTTTTCTGAAATCCTTTCATGCGAATGATGAAGTGTTAAGAAAAGCCTCCCTGAGTTTTGGTCCCTCTCAGAGTGACACGAGGCAACAGGTGGAGAGAGGGGACCCTGGCAGTCATGGAGGGACATGTTGCTAATTAGCCGGTTTGGGGTCAAAGGTTAGGCTGGTTGTGTAATGTCACCACGAAGAGAAGAGATCCAGATGTTGCTCACAGAGGAGGGCACCTGATGCCTCCAGCTGTTTCACACGAAGGCACAGAAAAACTTTAGTTGTTCAAGTGTCAAAAAGTGCGCTATGGTTTTGTCTTTATGTCTATAAAAATCATGTATTGATGTTTATTAGCAGAAATAAGATTGTAGGGGTCACCTCGAGTGAAGAAACAAGTTTTACTGCCTTCAAGCAGGCCTCGGACAGGCCTGACGAGAGGACAGGAACTCTGTCACAAACTGAACTCTATTTAGGCCATGACAGGTCATTCTAACCATGGAAGAGAACCCCTCAGTTCTCTTAATCAGATAATGGACAGAACAATCTCTTCTGTTTGTGATTCATTTGTTGTTTAACTAAGAATGTTTACGTATTTGTTAAATCATGATAATGCCTGTCACAGGAAAAATGGAACCACTTCTTTTCTTTTATCGTGCCTCAAAGATTTATAATGGTATAAAAAAATCACAGAGAATCTGATTACAATGGTTTCATAGTGTTTTTATGTAAATCACTATTTTTATTTTACTGTGAACACAGTAATATAATTGTGGATTTTTCCTGAGAAAATCTTTCATTTATCTGGACAAGCAGAAGGTTCAGAACTGATTATAAAACAGAAATGTTAATTAATCATCATAAATGTTTTGCAGTGATTTCTCTTAGCCTATCAGAAGAAAGCTGAAAAGAATTTATCATATCATGTTGTTGAACAACCACAGAATTTTAACCTTGGGCTGGCGCCGGCTGGCAAGTCTTTATCTTTCTTTCTCTGACTCATCTCTAAGCCTGAGGGCGGAACCGAAGTTCGTTCGTTTCTTTTACTAACCCGGACGGCTTTGAGCGACAATTTTCTTCTCGATTCAACCTAGGAAGACAGCTGGGATTCTCTCCGGAGAAACCCCAGTTTGGCTTTAAGTCTGATCCCATAAGCTACCTAGGGAAGACTTCACAGCCAGGGACCCGGCATGCCTGTCGGTGGTCTCAACCCGAGGCTGAGCCTCATGAGTGTGTTTTTAACTCCTGAGGGGAGATTTTATTTTGGAAGGAGGAACCAGATACGGCTTGAATTTTTCTGGCTTGGACTGAAACAGACGAAAGTTACCTGGAAAACACCTGTTCGCCAATGACCGGTAAGCGAGCCGACATCABTTCCCTGACTGATCGGAGGCGAGCCAGCTCCTACCCCGAGGGTGCCTTAACAAGACATCATCAGGTAAAAGCTGATGTGTTCGGAGTGACGTGTCATGTGGAACCTGAGCTTAGAAAAGACGTGCAGTTCCGGTTGACCCACACTTTGATAAAGTAAAAGTAGTAGTAACATACTAATCTTACTTTCCTCCTTTCCTTGTTCTTATTTGCCAAAACTTAAGCTGAAAGTGCCAGTAAAATTGTTTGGTTGTTAACATCAGAACTGACGTTTTACTGTTCTATATAAGTAAACTGAGTTGATGTGAATTGAAATTCGGACGCGGGTTTTATCTCATTTAACTCTGACGCTTGTAATAGGAATAACCACAATCAAGTGTAACGTATGATCTGTGAGTTCTGTGAGTTATAAGACATGAGAAAAAACGACAACGTTTGTGTCAAGCTCATCTGACCTGAGTGTCATCTCTGCTCTGGATCCAAAGGTTAACCTGGTGGACTTGCACCTGAACCAGAAAAACTTTGTCCATCCTGAGTGTTGAACATTGAGTATAAACAATCCTAAATACACCCGAGCTGCTGCAAACCCAAGTTTTTACATCGATTATTGTCAACTGATCATTTTTTAAAATTATTATTATTATTATTATTTTGGTATTTGTCATTATTTAGGCCCTGTGACAGACTTAAGACCAGGATATACATTGCTCCTTGTATGGTGACTGCGGCACAAGGGCACCCGTGACCCCAGTGACCCTGAACGGAAGAAGGGGGTAAAGATAATGACTGGATGGATGTTGGTTTTTTATGGGCTCAGATTTTAGTCTAATCTAATTTGT